GAAACAAAGGAGGAGGCAACAATGCTTGATAAGAAATGTACTCATTTCCTTGCCCATGTAATTGTAACCCCTCTGTATGGTATTTTCACAATAAAAAAAGAGAAGCAAGTCAAAAAAATTACTAGTGCTTTAGGAACAGAATGCTTTTTACTGATATGCACACGTAGATGCATTTGTTCAAACGACAATAAAAATGTAAACACCTTTGTGCACTGTCCTAAGTCGTATGAGCCATGCCCAGAAAAGTGCAGGCAATTTCTGTTTGACATTAGTGTGTTCCAAGCTATAAAACAACTCCTATTCACATAGAAACAAACCACCCTATCATTGCATATATCCTTCACATTCAGCTCTGGGAACCACAACATGATATACATACAACATGATATAGATACATCTACTATTTATCACCATTTAAAGTAATAAAATTATGATCTAAATGCTGTTAAAATGGGCTTAATTGTACTATACATTTTGATTATGATCAGAGCTCTAATGTAATGTCATATACAAATAACACTTAAGAATATATTTCTATTTTCCTGTAAACTTGTTTGAAAGCCAACATGCTAGTTTTGATACAAACATTAAAAATTTAATTAACAACACTTTTCTATGCCTACCAAGAGTTTAAAAGGGCTTTGCTGGAATGATTTGGAAGGCCTGGGTTCTTATAATGCCTATGCAAAGAAGTTCTGTGAGTGCCTACTCTTCTTCCTTTCTTAATTTTGCTGCAGTAAGCAGAACATTGAAAATAATTCCATTCCCTAAGTTGACCTCCCAGTATTATAGTAGTTACAGAAATGTGTTTGAGGTTTATGGCACCTCTGATACAGTTTGTCACTTTGTAAAACACTTAAGAAAAGTTAATGTTAACAACCTCTTCCACTTATTTAAAGTAATAATACATTTGTTTTAATTCAGATCCAATTAAAATAATCTGCAAATTGTGATAATCAGCAAACTTTTCTTGCAACATTTTACTTACATCAGTTAAAGACTTAATGAAGCTTTGGAATCCTTAACTTAGATTTCAATTGTATTGCTGCTATCATCCCCACCTTGAGAACTGATCATATATCACCAAAACTAAGTTCTGTGTCCTTCCTTTGATACCATCTCTTCTTTCTATCTAGTCACCTAGCAAAGGTCCACCAGGTCTGGGTGGATGAATGAGTGAAAGAAGAAAATATTGCCAGATTATTGGCATAGACTATTAAAAAATGAAGCTGCTTGTTACTACCTGCATTAGTCAGCACTCACTATAGGCAACAGAAGCCAATGGGGCATTTAAGTTGGAAAGGGATTTATTCCAAGAAATTAGGTGTTTCTGGATTTTTTTTTTTTTTTGCCGTGGGGCTTGAACTCTGGGCCTGGGCACTGTCCCTCAGCTTTTCAGCTCAAGGTTAGTGCTCTGCCACTTGAGCCACAGCACCACTGCCAGTTTTATGGTGGTTTATTGGAAATAAGAGTCACATGGGCTTTCCTGCCCTGGCTAGCTTTAAACCAGGATCCTCAGATCTCAGCTTCCTGAGTAGCTAGTATTACAGGTGTGAGCTACCGGTGCCTGGCATTTTAGGCAGCTTTGAACGGGAAAGAAGGGGAGATGATAGGGGATTACTTTTTGAATCAAAGTCAGAGGATTGAGCTGTGGTCCAAGGTTAGAAAACTTCACTGCTGCCTTTATTACTTCTTTTGTAACTTGCTCAATCTTAGAGCTAACAGCCTGCTGCAAATACTTCTATTGAGTAGAGTCTGCTTGTCTTCAATTATAATTGACAAAACAGGGACTGTATTTCTTTTCTGTGTTTTGTGCCTCACAAAGATTTGTCTCACTGGCAGAGCCTAAATTGAATTTACAATCATAGCTGCAAGAGAGTCTGGGAATTGCTTTAATCCACAGAATGAAATGGCAACCCTGGCAGAGTTTGAAAATGGTAGATGAGTGGGTGATACACATATTATCTAGCATAGATCATACCATGTAATTACTTTTTAAAAGATTATGAGGCAAGAAGGATCCTGGTATTAGGTAATAAGGCTAGGAGGGAGGTGAAAAATAAAGAATTCTTGGGAAAATAATGGTTAGTACTCTCAAGTTACTTAAAAAGAACATACCAATTGCTGATTAGCTATCATAAGTGCTGTGGTATACAACTAAATGCAATACCTAAATGCTGAGAAAGGATGGAGACACACATTGGAGTCAGTGTGGTCTGTGAAGGCAGGGGGCTAGGAAGCATTAACAAAATGTGCACTTGGATATAGGAGGAAGGAGACAAGATGGTATTTACAGGGTAGGACATGGCTTTAGCAGGAATAACTGTCTCAAAGTTTGGATACCTGAACTTCCATTTACAGACATTGGCTGGATCTCATCTGTATGAGGCAGATTTAAGAGTAGCTGCAGTACCTGAAGACATTTTATTGTTTGCCTTTGCATATTACCAGTCTTTTCTAAACTGATTGCAAATGGATTACAATCTGTTTTGATGTAAACCTATTTGCATATTAGATATTTGTTAATCTCTATTTAATTACCCAATTGCAATGTTACTAATTACCACAATATTTAGCATATTAAAGCAACAAACATTTATTATCTCTCATAGTTACTAAGGGTCAGATATGTAGGAGCAGCTGGGTGGTTCTGGCTCTGGGTCTCTCAGGAGGTTACAGTCAAGCTGTTGACCAGGCTGTAGTCTTCTAATGGGCACAGAATCCACTTCCAAGCTCATTCATGTGGATTCTGGCAGTAAGCATCAGTTCTTCACCATGTGGGCCCCTTCTGGTGGAGGTCATGACTTGGCAGTTGGCCATGCTGAGCAAATGGTCCAGAGAGTGAAAGACAGCAGAATCAGGATGGAAGCTGTAGTAGCTTTTATAATAAAATGATGGAAGTGATATGCCTTCAATGACTAACCCTGACATATGTGGGAAGGGATTATACAATGTGGGACACTTATCCTGGACAGAGACCTCAGCTATCTTCAGAACCCCAAATAAATGAGCATTATACATCAGCAATGCTTGGGTAAGGGAGACTTAGAATCACTCATTTGAGAATTGTAGACTCTAGTCTTTGAGACATTGTTCTGGTCCTGTGAGTCTGCTGGTCTAGAAATGCTAGAATGATAACCAGATGCATTCAATGGTATTTCAGTTCATTTCTGGGGGCTCACTGAGATGGGAGTATATGTTTAATAGTCCCCCAAATGTTGTTTTTTACATCTATATTTACAAGGCAATAATATTTTGCAATTGAACAAAAGTGAAAATTGTAGCGTGTAGGTAAATTCCCAAAGCTTAGAAATCAATTTTAACTGTAGCAATTGTTTGTGTTTTCTTAAAAAAATTGTATTGTTCTGGCAAGTGCTATAATAAACATGTTTTCTTTATTCCAGTGAATCATTTTGCTTGGCATAAGACATTATTTGTGTAAACATGTGTATATTTTGATCCATTGTATGCCATTTAGTAGAACAGCTGTATTTTTATAAGAATTCTAGGAATCTCACATCTGGAATTTCAGTTTACTCAAAATTTGTGAATAATGAGTTCAGTATTGTCTTCTAAAGACTTAGAATTCTGTATTTGCAGAAATAAGGAATAAGACAGACTTAGGGGAAATCTTGGAGGAAGATGGTGGAGGAGAAGCTGGAAGCTAAACAAGCTCTTGCCTAGAAAGCAGTTTTAGTGTTCCAGTGAACAGTCCTAGGCTAGAGAATCATACCAAGTGTGCCATCACAGTACAGAGAGTTTGTCCAGAGAGGAAAAATCCAGGCAGCTTGGTCAAGGAGACAGATCTGAGCACTTTCCGGTGTCCATGGCAGTGGTGGTAGTAGCAGCGGTGGCTGTTGTGGCCGCCATATCAACACAGAGAGCCCGGGACAAAGGCGCCAGATATGGTGTGCTAGCAGATTCTACTCACCACCAGCAAGAACTGACAAGGAGCAAAAATCTTCATCCTTCTGATCGCAGACCAGGGATAGCACAGAAACCAAGAGGCTAGAGTGAGTACACCCCAAGACATCCTTACTCCTTCTCATGGAGCAGTGGTGGGAAGCTAGCCCCTCCCCCACCACCAGAGAAGAACTCCCATCTTTGATACTGGAAAAGGTTGGGCTCAAGCAGCTAGCTTCAACTCAGGCCTTGAAAGAAAACAATAGGAACCATTCAGCAGGCTTCACCCTTCCCAGGCAGAGGTGGCTCTGCCCCTGGAGGAGTAACTTTGATAACTGGGTAAAAGAGCCAGAGGCTGCCCCTCTGGTAGCCTAGGCAGCACACCCAGCAGCAGGAGGGGTAAAAGGCAAACAGTTGAAACTCAGTAAACATAAATCTGGAGAATGGCTCCAGAATGGGCTCTGTGAGTGTTTCAGAAGCTAGCTCCTCAGGAAAAAGCTACTGATAGCTGATAGGCCTCAATCCTACCCAGAACCTAGCCTCATCAGAGCAACTCCAAGCTAGAGGAAACAGCCATCTCCCTCTTTTGTGATACTCAAAGCAGATCTCCCTCCCACTGAACTAACCTGGGAGGAGGATCACAAAATCCTGGGTAAGGCAGAGCATTTTTCTGCCTGTTCAAACAAACTGACTTAAACCAATTAAAAGCCACAGGAAAACCAAACACCACAAGCAAACCAGAGACTCCACCAAGAGACTGGTTGTGGACACAGGGGAGATACAAGATCTTCCCCTTGCCTCCCCCACCCCAATCAAATAATTCATTTTTCTACCTAATTTTTTCTTAATTAAAATTTTTTTTCTATTTTTTTTGTTCATAATTTTTAACTTAGGTGTGTGTGTGTGTGTTGTTTTTTAAAGTATCTTTTAATCTTTTGGTCCTTTTTGGGGGGGGGCATGACTTAATTGCTGTTCTGTTCATCTCCAGATATATACCCATTGTCGAGTATTAGACCTGATCCTTCATTGTGTACATACTTAATTCAGAAATTTATTACTCAATTCACAACCTCTTAGGCTTAACTTCTTTAATAGTACTATTATTCCTTTATACCTATATAATTTTTAAGTTTTCCATTTTAAATTTTTTATTTTTTCATTTTTCCTTTTTATCTCTCTCCTCCTATCCTTTTCTTCTATCAGTATTGTTTCTTTATACTTACATAATTTTTAAGTGGTTTCTTTTTTTTAATTTAAATTTTTATTTTTCATTTTTTCTTGTTCCTTTATCTCTTTCCTTTCATTCTGTTTTATCCATTTCCTTTCTGAGATTAGGACTTGGTTAAATTCCCTCTTTCCTTTTACCTCTCCACATCACTCTAATCCTATTTTTCCCCACAATTCTTCCTAAACCTATTAATTTCTGGTCTGCTGAATCCCTCTTTGATGTTCTTAGCACATTAATCCATAGTTGTTTGATGTTGAAGAGATCATATCTGTTGAACTAGATTGTAGCTGCAGCCATTTTGACTGTATAACTACAGGGCTCTGGTTGATGCTTGCCTTAAAATAGTGTTCTAGCATGAAATTGGTATTGCTTTCTTTTTTTAAAAATAAATTTTTTATTGTGAAAATACTGTATAGAGGAGTTACAATCATATGAAGGAGGTAATGAGTACAATTCTTATCAAGCATTGTTGCTTTCTCCTTTGTTTTCCCCCTACCATCCCTTCCCTCCCATCTCCACAACTACATTCCCTCCCTCCCCTCCCCCTCCCCCTTCTCCCCTCCCCCCCAGCCTAAATTGTAAAGTTCCTTTTTCTACATAGCGTCTTGTATATTTCATTGTTGCAATAGGTCAACCTGTATCCCTATTTAAACAATTTGTTTTTTCCCTTCTGCTCCCCAAATCATACCAACATCAAATACAGTGAAAACAGGGGTTATACCGTGGGGAGGGACATACAAAGTAACAAAAAAATCATGTGGTACCTTATAAATATGTTAGAAACAATAGCAAGAAAAAAACAATTATAGAGAAAGAACATATGACTAGCTAAGACAAATCCAAGAAATATGATAGATCTATTCAACATTAAGAAGACACCATCAGAAGGCCTAATCTGAGGATAATGGGTGTAGAGGAACATCTAGAGACAGAAGTTAATGGTCTAGGAAATTTATTTAACAGAATCCTACCAGAGAATTTCCCAAATATGAAAAAGATAGGCCTATTCAGATACAAGGAGCTTTTAGAACCCCAAGTAGACCAGACCAGAACAGGACATCCCACCATCACATTATAATCTGCACAGGATCAATTCAGACCAAGGAAAGGATCCTTAAAGCTATCAAGGAGAAAAGATCAATCACCTATAAAGGGAAACCAATTAGAATTACCTCAGATTCCTCAGCAGAGACAATTAAAGCAAGAAGAGCCTGGAATGATGTATGCCATGCCCTAAAGACAAACAACTATCAACCAAGAATACTGTACCCAGATAAACTCTCCTTCATAACGGAAGGTCAAATAAAAACCTTCCATAGCAAAGAAAAACTGAAACAATATATCTTCACCAAGCCATCCCTACAAAAGATACTTAAAGAGGTCTTACACATAGAAGCCCAACAAGAGCACAATAAAGGCCAAGAAACTGCACTCAATTAGAGAATCCAAGAACTATAGGAAGAACCCAGTTATCACAGCCCCCAAGAAGGTGGATAGTATGGGAGGAACTACTAAACACCTCCCAGTCCTAACTACTAAACACCTCCCAGTCCTAACTCTCAATATTAATGGACTTAACTCTCCAATTAAGCAACATAGATTATCTAGATGGATTAAAAAGGAAGATCTTTCTATCTGCTGCCTTCAGGAGTCACATCTTGCCCACAAAAACAAACATATTCTGAAAGTGAATGGCTGGAATAAAATCTACCAAGCAAATGGCCCCCATAAACAGGTGAGACTTGCAATCTTAATATCAGGTAAAATACATTTCAAATTAAAATTAGTGAGAAGAGATAAAGAAGGTTGCTACATACTAATTAAAGGACTTCTTCTTCAGGAGGATATTAAAATTCTAAATATTTATTCACTAAGCAATGGAGCACCCAAATTTATCCAAGAAACATTACTTTCCCTCAAATCTCACATTGATCCAAAGACATTAATTGATAGGGACTTTAACACACCACTATTCCCACTAGATAGATCAACTCGACAAAAACTCAACAGAGAAACCACAGATCTAAACAACTGCATAGATCAGCTAGATTTAACAGACATCTATCAAATATTTCACCCAGCAGCATCAGAATACACGTTCTTCTCAGCAACACATGGAACATTCTCCAAAATAGACCACATTTTAGGTCACAAAGCAAATTTGTTAAAATTAAGAAACATTCAAGTTATGCCCTACATTTTCTGAGACCATGAGGGAATAAAATTAGAACTCAACACCAAAAGCCACCAAAGAAAGTCCTGTAACGACACACTGTTGACTCACCAGTGGGTCATGGAAGAGATTAGAAAGGGAATTCAAATTTTCATGATATTCAACAAAAATAAACAAATCACCAGTTCCTCTGGGACACAGCAAAGGCAGTACTCAGATGGAAAGTTTATAGCTCTGAGTTTCTACAGCAACAAATTGGAGAGCTCTGAAACCAACAATTTAATGAGCTATCTGAACCTCTTTGAAAAAGAGCAGCAAGCCAAACCCCAATAGAGTAGATGGAAAGAAATAATTAAAATTAAACCAGAATTAAATGAATTAAAATCCAAAAAGATCATAGAATCAAAAAAACAAAGAGTTGATTCTTTGAACAA